AGATTGAAGAAGAAGAAGAAGAAGAAGAAGAAGAAGAAGAAGACTGACACGTGACTGAGGCCCTGTTCGGGTATATTTTCTGCCTCAATAATTTGGGACCTTTATTCAGAAGATAGCCATATTTTCTAAAAGGCCAGAACTTTGGAATTTGTTAGGAAATTTAACAAACTTCAAAGTGTTATTCTCAAATTTGTGACTGCAAAACCATGGTAAGTGAAGGTTTTTTCTTTTTTTTGAAAATTTTTTTTTTTAATTACCACTTGCTTTTTTCTTCTTTCCTATTAATTATAACAGTACTAAATATACACTCATCATCAGATTATAAATGTAAATTGATTTCTCGTTTAAAAATACATTTATATATATATATATATATATATATATATATATATATATATATATATATATATATATATATATATATATATATATACTATATATATATACACTTTTAAAGAATTAGATATTAGTTATTATTTTCTCTATTGAATTTTTTTAACATCACCCCCTCTGCCATTTTTGTAAAGGGAAATTAATGTAAGCCAATTTTGTCAAAATACATGGGCCTGAAAGAGTTAATAATAACAAATGACTATATTATTGTATATTCATGTATCCGCTGCTAAGAAACTGACAGTAATAATATTAATAATCATATACAGCGACATTGTATACTAATAGTGTAAAAATTAAAAACCGAATATTAACTAATGTTATATAGTTTGAACATTTATTAAGTGTTCATTTTCGAATTAGATTATTAATAATGTTACAAAATTATGAACCAAAATAACCAAATTTAAAATTTCCAAAACACAGAAAAAAAAATCTTATTAATTTGACCTGGATACTGGACCGCACTTAACTTACGTCTATTAGAAATGACAATGGTCTTTTGACGTGATGTCACTAGCTAGGATGCCGAATGCAAGAATACAGGACTTTTATCTACTCATGACGCCGGTTTTCAGATGACTGATGATGTTTCCTAACTTAGAACCTGAGTAAAGAGACAAGTTGCAAACTTCCACGATCAGCTGTCCAACACGGCGGCCAGTCATCGTCTGCAGGGACCGGTCCGCGGAGTTACGTCCCTTCTGCATCGACCTAACATCATCATGTTGTGCTAGTCATTTAAACTCTTGCTTACGCTCCATATTTATCGTCGGGGTATAAAGTGTTTACTGAGTTTTCATTATGTATTTGTTGTTATTGTTCCTGTATGCATCGCATCATTATTTCTTTCAGACATACATTCAGATTGTATCCTTATTAATTGAAACATTACCTTGTTCACGCATTTGAGGTTGTGATGTCAGGACATGACTGTTGACTCCAGATGTAGTTCACCGTAAAGCGAACTTGTCAAGCGTTCACAAATTATTGAAGACATACAAGATCCGCTGGGCAAATCATCTAGTCCCCATGCCAGACCATCGGTTTCCACAGAACAACTTTTACGTTGCACTCATCCTGTATTGACAAAGATGTCCAGATGACGATGAAAACAAACAACGAAACAAAAACACGAAATCGGTATTAAGAAGCAAACATGGGAGGTTGTTACACAAGACCGATCTAAATGGCGTACAGTCAGTCCTCAAGCATGGCGCAGCAGCATGCCAGACAGCAGAGGTTGCACTGACAGAGACACAAAGGGAGACGAGAAAGAACTATGAGACAAACCTCGCTTCTGCTTTCGCTTGCATCTGTTTGTACTGCTTCCAGAGTTTTGCAAACCGAAACTGGACTCACCAACCATCTTTGTACAGTCATTGATCATTAGTATATTAGTACTAAATGATGCTATATTTTCGTCATCACTTGTGATGGGCAAACATCACAGATTGTCATTACAACAGATATTGTATACGCACTATACTTCAAACTTGTATAGTGCGTATTTTGACAATCCTATCAACGCTGTGTTGTTAAGAAAGCAGTCGTGGTGTGTCGGCTAGACAACCGTCTGCAAATCCGAAAGTCGTTGGTTCAAATCCGAACGGAGTTCGACTTGTTTTCAAAAAAGATCTTGGCGTCCATATCAAGCCTGAAATGTTTACCAGTCACATTCCTGGAAAGTAAGGGCTTTCGTCTGATGTTGACATCACCCATCGAGCGCCGATTGGTCTATACAATATAGGTCCAGCCCTATATGCCCAACGGCGTGAACAAGGGTCCTTTACTTTAAATGAAGATATTTGATTCATTATGTCCGTTGATTATCCATCAGTCTCTTCGTGAAATAGTTTCTGTCAGGGCATTTTTATTATGTTCTTACCTACCTAGACCGTTGATTGTGGCCAGGATATAACAGTATCTATCACTAGTTTCAACTGTTTTATTTCGTCATATTCTGAGTCACTACAGAAAATTATCGAATGAGCAGCGATATATATATATATATATATATATATATATATATATATATATATATATATATATATATATATATATATATTTTTTAAGTATCCAGAAGCCATGAGTTGTTAGGCTCGGTATTATGGATATCGCAACCTTTCGGCCTTGATTCCATGATGAATACCGTAAATCTGGGAGAGATGTCGCTTTTCTGCCTACCCCCGGGCGTGAACCCGGACCACAACGAGTTCGTCACCCTGTCACCGCGCAGTCCGGTTTAGCCAACTACGCTAGACATCTGGGCGACCAGCGATATAAATGAAGGGTGTTTGGAAAGTCTGGTTGGTATAGTAGTAGTAGTAGTAGTAGTAGTAGTAATTTTTTTTAATTTCGTTTTAACCTTTATGGTTATTATTGGGATATATAGTGTTAATTGAGTTCTCATGATAGAGTATGTTAGGACAGTCTTCAACAGGAGGACATGATCTGTTGTTTCAGGTGCCAATCCACATGTACACATGGCTGATTCGCCGATTTTAAATTTTGTGTACATGTGGCTGCGAAGTCGATTGTGTCCTGTTCTAAGGCGTAGAATAATTTGCTCTGGTCTGTCCTTCAAATAGTAATGGTATTGCCCCGGTTTTGGTGGCTTTCTGGTTGATGTGATTGTTCTCTTATTTTGTTGATAAGAGTATGGTGGGTCAGATTGTTCTCTGTTTGCACTTTCCTTAACTAGTTTTCCAGCTCTTTCATTTCCTGGAACTCCACAGTGGGATAGTATTCATTGCATAGTTACTGTACACTGGCTGCCTAGTTTAGCGAGTAGTGTTTGTATACCAGATAAGAAATAACTAATGGTGTCTTTATATAAAGCCGATCCACTTCGTTCTTTATCTGGAAGTAAAATAAAAATTGTAAACGTTAAATTGACCCCGCCATTGTCTTTCCCACGTTCAGTTCGCATGTCTGCCCCCTTATAATTGAGGCGAAGAATTTTCGTTGTTGCCTCTTTCACATATCCATTCCTCTTCTTTCTCTTATAGTCTATGCCGTGTGATGTTGGTAGTCGTTTCTATCGACAACATTCTGTCTCGTGTACTTCTGACAGATTATCTTTTTATACTACTATGTCTATGATGTCAATCTGTCCAGCACCATCTTTCTTTGTCATTTGCTAAGATTACATATTACTAATCTGTTTAAGCTGTCTAGAATTCAACTGTCGCCGAGTGACTCAGAACCAGAAATTTGTTTCTAGGATATAACAAGAAGTCGGGCAAGGAAGAAGCCGGAAGTTGATTTGATACAACTAAAAATAGCTGGATGAGGAATGAAGTTGGGTGTCTGTCGTCTGGCAGGGTTTGATCACAGAACACATCATGTGAGGATTGTTGGATCTTTTCTGTCACTCTAAAGCCTGCAACAGGCACATTACACAGTACACTTCAACCACTGAGTATCTTCTGTAGGACATCACTGTGTTATTTAAAGTTTTAGTGGGCACTGCAGCTTCTGTTTAAAACAGGAATCAAGCAGAAGAAAGTAGGTAAGTTCTTATGGATCGAGACCCTGACTCCAGTGAGTGAGACTGATCAGATCTTTGTTGTTTGTGTATTGTTTTGTTTGTTTTTATCAAGTAATTCTTAAAAAAAAATGCCTCTAGCAGTTACAGAGAATAGAACATTCAGTTTATATATATATATATATATATATATATATATATATATATATATATATATATATATATATATATATCTTTAGACTTCATACTCATACTATTACATATGTTTTCTTTATGCCTGAAATGTGTTGATGAAAATTGTCATTGTAGCGTGTGTGTGTGTGTTTTTTTTTTTAATCACCCAGAGCAATTAAAGAGCATATTGTTTAAAAAAAAAAATTTTTTTGGCGACAGTTATTAAGGTTTTAATACCATTGTTAAGTGCAGGAGCCGGCCAGCTGGGGCTGCGGAATCAGAAGTTCAACAAATGACATGACAATTCCTGCCCAAATGATGTGATTGTATTATATACAGATGGCTCTGTGTAGGGGGGCAGACAAAGTTCACGGAGGTTCATAGCGAAGGGGAATGGACTTCGCTTTGTACAACAAAGCCTGGCATATGATATCACAACATCTAGTTTGAGAATGGAGGTGGAGACAGTCACTGCAGCCTTCCACTGGCTTTAGAATCAGCTGTACACACATATCGTCATTGTAAATGACTCACAGAGCATGTTGAGAAAGGTGGAGACTGGCATGCAGTGGCAAGCATCACTTCAGAGGTTCCGGGTAGTTAGCATCATTTGGATATTTTCTCCAGGTCACACCTGTGTGTTGGGAAATGAGCAGGCAGATCCACTGGCCGGTTCTGCACCACTTAGTAATGAATTGATATATGACAAGCAGGATGTTTTGAGGGCCCTTTGGGAGCGAGTGAACAGTGCTGAGGAACAGATAGATTATTACCGTCTGAGGAGAATGGCACTGCGAGGAGTATACTTTGTCGGTAATGTCTTGCTTTAAATCCTATAAAGGGTGACTAAACATGTGTTGGTTTTTAAATTGTTAAGATGTATATGTTGTGTAATAGCATACTTATTTAATACAGCTGTTTTGGTTTCTTTCAAGTAGTAACCATGGAGTTTCTGTTTGGTCGCAAAAAGACCCCAGAGGAAATGCTCCGCCAGAATCAGCGAGCTCTCACTAAAGCTATGCGTGACCTTGATCGTGAGCGGCAAAAAATGGAGCAGCAGGAGAAAAAAGTTATTGCAGACATAAAGAAGATGGCAAAATTGGGTCAGATGGTGAGTGTGAATGTTTTTATGTTAAATTTGGTTACTTAGCAGATATGACCGTTTGTGTGTGAAGATCTAAGCTGTCATATTTTGTAGGCCATGATGTATGAGGTGGAATGACCAGTTCTGTTCCTCATCTTTCGTTTATAGACAAGTCCCAGAACATTAAGGGAAATTGTCTAGTACCCATTTTGTCCTGGTCTGAAAAATTAATCCTACCTGTGCTGGGTGTGAACCCAAAAAACCACTAAACAAACACATAAGAAATATGCACAAATTACTTTACATAACTCGTGAAAAATAATTATTATTATATTAAGTGTTATAAGTAAAGTAAAGTACACGACTGACACAGGTATATTGTGCAAGGTCAGTATTTTTTAAAAAGACTTGTTGACACTTGATGGGCGAGGTGGTCACCTATTTGCTGATTGCTTTTACTAAAGCCCTCAATGGTTGATCATGATATTCTAATTAATAAATTAAACATTTTTAAAACTAAGGATAATTTGGTCAAATTAATGTGGTAATTTTTATCTGACAGCATATTACCACTTAAGTGCTGGCTAATTCCATCGTGTTTAATCATATCACTACTTAAGTGCTGGCTTATTCCATCATGTTTAGACCATGTTGCACAAAAATTTTCATAAAATCCAAAGTATTTCGATTAGTTATCTCAATAAAAAAAAAAAAAAAAAAACTTAGCGAATGAATAACTTGAATAGAGAAGGTCTGAAGTTTTCTGTTGTCCAAGTGTGTGTGAGGGAGAGAATTAATTTTGGAGTTGTTTTACGATGCAATACAATTTTTTCGCATTTTATTAGATTTTTCTATAATTTGGCATGTTTCACAAAAATTTTCAGAAAATCCAAAGTATTTCGATTAGTTATCTCAAATAAAAACTAGCGGATGAAAAACTGAATAGAGATGGTCTGAATTCTTAGGAATGGATAGCAGTGTTCAGTGTTGCTGATCAAGTAAAAAAGTAAGATTCATACAACACTATGTGAGTTGAAAAACTGTGTGTCTGAAATCCTTGAACATTGTGTCATTTTAATACTTTGCTGCTGCAGAACTGACCATGAAATAGGTTTGGTGTATTCTTTATTCATTTCTCTTTAATTTGGTACATTATGTGTCACTATACAGCCAAATTTTTTCTTCAGAAAGGTTTTAGCTTTGTCATGCTGCAGTAAAACAAATTCAGCTCAAAATTAATTGTGTCCAAACCCCAGAAAAAAAATGCCATCCTGAAAGAGTTAAATTCAATAGTCTGTTTTCTAATTTGCCAGGATGCAGTAAAAATCATGGCCAAAGACCTAGTACGAACAAGGCGTTATGTGAAAAAGTTCATTTCCCTACGAGCAAATATCCAGGCTGTCTCCTTGAAGATCCAGACACTGAAGGCCAACAACACCATGGCTCAGGCTATGAAAGGGGTCACCAAAGCCATGGCCGCCATGAACAGACAGGTTGGACTTTTGTTGTGACTTTAATTAATTATATACCAGCTCAGATATTTAAGTGTTTTATATTGTGGCTTCAACTTCTTGTATGACTGCTCCACTATCTTTTTTTTTCTATTTTTCGTGAGTTCTGCTCATTACAAAGTGCTTATTGTTGATTTGAGAATCATAGCATATCGAGCAAGATTCTTCTTGTCACAGCTGTCTAAATATGTGAATATATTATATGTTATGCCGTCTGATCATTGCTTTTTCAACTGCTCATTTATTTTAATTCTGTTCTTATGATTCCAAAGGCTTTCTTACAGAAGTATGTGTGCCTCACAGATCTTTTCCCCCCCATTCTCACAGATGCCAGCCCTTCCCAGTGCTATCACAAAACCTGTCATTCTTTATTTTTTTCACCTGTACCTATACATCCTTGCCAGTTTTCTCAAAGCATCTTGTAACTTCCACTGTTTCTTGCAGAAATATTTAATTCCTGATCTTTTCATCAATACCTGTAGTTTCTTATAAAGGTCTATCGTTGTCAGTCTCACACGAGCTTGTAGTTGCTTGTCAAAACTCACACAGAAGCATGCCACACTGTCGATAAACATTTCAAGTTTCCTTTCAGTGTTCTGTACTGAAACTTGGACAGTCAACTAGAAAAGTGAATTGAGTCTCCAGAAATGTGAAAATGCAGAAGAATAGGTCATATTTCCTGGAGAAAAAATACAGAGGTTATGGTGAGACTGTGAATAAAAAGAGAGTTACTGAAACAAATAAGAACTTGACAATTGATATTTTGGCCACATTGAAATATATAACATTCACTTAAACGATACTGGCTGGAAAAGTTGAAGTGAGGAAATCAAGAGGTAGACAAGAATACATGTGGGAGAACAACATCAAGAAATGGACAAACAGCAGTCTGAGAGAGAGTAAAACCAAGACAAGAGACAGTTTGTTAGAGATCAATTCAGCTTCGAATTGATTGATTCACTGTTCTCACAGAGGCATGTCACTACTTGTTAATTTCAGTTTTCCATTTTATGTTTGTTTTTTGTTGACAAAAATGGTTTGAAATTTAAATTACATATAGACACAATTGCACAATTTATTGCTTGACATCAGCATATAATGTTTACATCAACAAATAGTGGTTACTCCAACATATAGTGGTTACATCTTCATATAGTGGTTAGATCTTCATATAGTGGTTACATCAACATACAGTAAAGCACAAGAACATTGATCTTTTCCACAAAATGTAGAGATTACAGTGTCTTTAATTATCCCAGCAATCATGTGGTTAATTTTGGACTTCTAGTGGTGAAATGCACAGTGTAATAAGAGACATTGTCATTTGTGTATTAAATGGGAAGGATTCCTGTTTTGTGCTTGATAATATGTTGATGTAAATTCTATAATAATGTACTTGATAAGAGCAGCCAGTGAAATATCCTTTGGCAATTAATTCTGAAATATATTGCTTGGGTCTTCTTCTTCTTCTTCTCTTCCACCTTTTACCTCATCGAAGTGTCGGGGGGAGATGTAATGTTCGTTGATGAGCTCTGTCAAGAGCACTATTAAGACTGATGTTCATTTCTGTAAGGCTGTTCTTAATGCCATCACTCCATATTTTCCGAGGTCTTCCACTCGCTCTATACCCGTTGTAATGTTTTAGTGTGGCTCGCTGTGGCGGATAGTACCAGGGAATTATTGTTAGGTGTCCAAACCACTTCATTTGTTGTTCTTTGATAACCTGTAAGACCGGCTTTATTCCTAGCATTCGTCTGATTTCATTATTTCGTATTCTGTCTTTCCTTGAAACCCATGCAGCTCTTCTAAGGCATTTCATCTCTGTTGTCACAATTTTACGTTCATTCGAGGATGTAAATGTCCACGTTTGGCATTGATAGCATAGTGTAGGCCAAAAAATTGCTCTGGTCTGCACTTTTAAAACTCACTATGAGAAAATCAGTGTTTTGAATTTGTTTGAAACCTTGGCTTTTGTATGTGTTTTTCCGTTTATCAAGCTTTCTCATCATGTTGCACGTGATTTTGTTTTCCAAAGTGTGAAATGAACATACTTTCATGTTGATGCTTCAGCTAAAGCTGCCAGAGATACAGAAGATCATGATGGAGTTTGAGAAGCAGTCGGAGATCATGGACATGAAGGAAGAGATGATGAGCGACGCCATCGATGATGCACTTGGCGATGATGATGATGAGGAAGAGAGGTAAACTTTTTATCTTAGTCTTTGCTTTGGTTGTACTAGGCAGGGCTGGCAATGGGATTTTTGTTATTGAAAAAACCAGCTTAGCTGAACAAAAACCCAAGCAATACATGGACAAAGAACCAACAAACAAAAACCCAGATTGTTAAAATGTACAAACATTTTAGTTACGAAACAAAACATTTACCACTTTTAAATAAGTATGTATTTTATTTTAAAAAAAAACAGATTTCCCCAAAGCGTCAGATAAAACCCAGATCTGGGGGAAAAACCCAGCAATGGTTGCCCTGATAGTAGGGTAGTTTGGGATCGAGTTGAAATATATCTTTCTTCCTTCTTTTCATCTACCCTTTTTATGTGGAAGCAGCTTTGAGTAATGTTCTTGAGAGGTGCATTTCTTGTACATTGTTTTTCCCAGAAAGGCTAACCTTGGCAACAAATGCCTGCAGAAGTTGGATGTATCGGCCGAAAGGTGCAAAAATTACACTCATGTTGTAAATGTATGTACATCCTCGGATTAACGAATATATATACCTGGACGGTTTGAAAATTAATGCCTCCAAGGACATAGCTTTGCTTAAATGCATAATGTACACATGACATATATATTTTCTGAAGCACAAGCTGTCCTTTAAGTAAGGTGCTATTATTTTTCAGCATAGTCACCATTATGTTCCGCCTACATCTGCCAGTGTGGACAGGTTTTTGACCATATACCTGATGATTCACTGCGTGAGAAGGATACTTTACTTAACTTATAGTCAGAAGAAATGACATGTAATAATAAAGTATATTTATATTGTTTCGTTCAGTGATGCAGTTGTGGCCCAGGTTTTGGATGAGCTTGGATTACAGATGGCAGATGAGATGTCCGGTATGTACTTGGTGACTTTCTATTAGTTATGACTGTTGTCGTTTTCTAGTTCAGCAGAACCTCGCCTGCTACCCATTGACCCAGTGTAATACATCATCATCATTTTTTTTTTTCTACATGAGGGGGAAGGAGAAACTGAAACTGAAGCTGGAGAGAATTCTTGGTAGCTTTCATAAAGCAGTACAGAGGTTTGGAGAGATAGGGAATAGAAAGACTGATAAAAGGGGAAAAAATTTGTAAAATGTTTTGGCCACATTAACAATCTCAGACCAAAACAAGTCACCGTGCATTTCTAGATCTTTACCAAGATAATATAATTTACCAGCTGTCTTCTCTCACAGAAGAATGTTATATCAATTCTTGTTGTTTAGATTACTAGTTTAACTTGTTATGCCTCAAAATGTCTATGCTGAACTCCTTAGGGTCACATTATTTAATGTTTTTTATATCAGATAGATAGATAGATAGATAGATAGATAGATAGATAGATAGATAGATAGATAGATAGATAGATAGATAGATAGATAGATAGATAGATAGATAGATAGATAGATAGATAGATAGATAGATAGATAGATAGATAGATAGATAGATAGATAGATAGATAGATAGATAGATAGATAGATAGATAGATAGATAGATAGATAGATAGATAGAGAGATAGATAGATAGATAGATAGATAGATAGATAGATAGATAGATAGATAGATAGATAGATAGATAGATAGATAGATAGATAGATAGATAGATAGATAGATAGATAGATAGATAGATAGATAGATAGATAGATAGATAGATAGATAGATAGATAGATAGATAGATAGATAGATAGATAGATAGATAGATAGATAGATAGATAGATAGATAGATAGATAGATAGATAGATAGATGATAGATAGACCAAAACAAGTCACCGTGCATTTCTAGATCTTTACCAAGATAATATAATTTACCAGCTGTCTTCTCTCACAGAAGAATGTTATATCAATTCTTGTTGTTTAGATTACTAGTTTAACTTGTTATGCCTCAAAATGTCTATGCTGAACTCCTTAGGGTCACATTATTTAATGTTTTTTAAAGCTAAACACTTTGGGATAGAAGGAGTTTAATTAACAGCCACTTGGAGTTAAAAGCCATAAAGAGTTAAAAGACATAAATAACACCTTTTTAAAAAAAAATTGAAGGGAAATTTAAACTCATTGGAGCAAAAGGTAATCAGTGATTGAAGTGAGAGGATAATATGATAAAGTTTTACTTGTAAAACCAGGGTTGTTCAGCTAAGTTTACTTGTAAAACCAGGGTTGTTCAGCTAAGTTTACTTGTAAAACCAGGGTTGTTCAGCTAAGTTTACTTGTAAAACCAGGGTTGTTCTGCTAAGTTTACTTGTAAAATCTGGGCTGTTCAACTAAGTTTACTCAGGGACCACAGTTTTGCAAATGGTGATCATTATGGGCCAGAAGAGAAAGTTCATTATTACAATATAATTGGCAGTGGTCAGCGGGCCACTTGCTAGGCCTCTGCGGGCCAGATTTGGTCCACTGGCTGCCAGTTGAATAGCCCTGCTGAAAACCAACTTCAGCATTTATTGGCTGATCATCTGTTTGCTGTTTTTCTATCTTTGTCAGTTGAAGCAAGAAAGACAACTCCCAAGAGCTGTATAAATCCTATCCTAATATACAGAAGTGAATCATGGACAGTTGGACGATTAGTGAAAAATAATGTGGATGCGGTGGAGATGTAGTTGTATAGATGAATCATTAGAACACCATGAACAATTAAAAAGAGTAATGAAGATCTCTTGAAATCTTCCCACCTACAATAGAGCAGCCGCTGATGAAACCAATCTTTCAAACACATCATCTTTATTGTCCTATTCTCTATCTCCGTGACATGAGAAAGGAGGAGGGTTGTGTGTGGGGCCAACTCTGTCATCCTGTAAAAAAAAATGTACTTGCTACAGAAACTTGCAGGAAAGGATGCCTTTCCAGTAAACAAAGAATGTTTGTCCTGCTGTGCCATTATATGTCACATAGGGCCTCCACTCCTATTCCTCCATTGTGTCCTGTGCAGTCTGTTGGATAACATGGATAGAATCCAGTCCAGCACCTTTGACCTCATCAGTGTTCATGTTTGGATTTCTTTCTGATGTCCTAGTTTCCTGAATGCCTGTACTTCTACTGTTAGTGACTGTTTGTTGATTCTCTCTCTGCTTGTTTTTACTCAGGGGTGTCCAGGACAGCACCATTGTCTTTGTCCTAAAACTTGTTTCCAGTGGTTGCCCAGATGTTTCTCTTATTTCTTCACTCCTCTTTAATTCATCCTATTTTATGTTTAACTTTTTTCTCAGCAATTTGTTTTCAAATCTCCCCCCCCCCCCCCTTTTCCCAAAGTGCCTACTCACAAATTGTTTATTCATAGAAATTTGAGTTTTGTATGTATTTTATGTTTCTCATAATTGTTCGTTTTTTTTCTTTCTTGTTTTATATTTCTCGTATTTTATACTTTCTACTTCTGTGTCATCCAGGTCTCCCCAGCACAGGCAAAAGTCTCACGGCTGGCCCCAGCAAAGCCCCACAAGCTGCTGTAGCAGCTGATGCCGATGCAGACCTGGAGGCTAGATTGGACAACTTGAGACGGCAGTGACCTGGCAAGGCATTCACTATTGTACATAGCTCTACTACAGTGGACCTACATTAAAATACGATTTGCATTTTTGTTATCTTTCTTTCAAAAGTGGGCTGTATTCTCTGACCTGTTGTGTCTCACAGAAAAGATAGAAAGCCCAGTTATTAGTGATTTGTGAGGATTGTCACCACAGCACTCCAAACAGATCAGTAGGTGCTCCGATCTCCTGCTCAAACGGAAAAAAAAAAACCCCACTAATGTTCTGTGTTGATTGATCAAACATCTGATCCCGTTGGTGCACACCCGTCTACATCTACCTGCACAGGGGTACAGAGTCATGCCCTTTGCCATATTTTCCTATGCTGTAAGTACTGTGTGTAGCATAGATAACCTCACTTCTGTACAGTACCGGACCAGCCCTAGCCACCGCAGTGCCTGTAAGTTAGACTGCGTTGTTTTTGCCTCAGGACTGAGCACAAAGATTAAGGTTAGGTCAGCCATTTGGGAAATGCTTAGTGATACAATCCATTCTTGTCAGATGAACCAAGTGTGGACTTTCTTGAGCATATTCACTGCCCAGTTATTGCTGTGAGCTGTGGTTGTGCAGTGACTAGAGACTTGTCTGCCTGCCCGAAGGTCTTGTGTTCAGGTTTGCATGAGAGATGGTTTGTATAATTGACCTAGAGCTCCCAGCTCAACCCAGCCTTAAATGTGTATCAGGAAGTGTCCTGGGAAGTAAAACACAGTCGTGTGAACAGTTTGGTCTATAAATGGTGGACTGGTGCCATGTTTCGAATGCTCCAATGATATGAAAAGGGTCCTTTACCTTCTTGCTAATTATCAGTAATATATTGCAAGGAGTACAGAAACATTTCCTTTTCTTTCTATGTGAATGTGTGTGTGTATACATCATCGTCATCATCAAGTGCCTTGCTGACCGGCACTGGCAGTCACGCTTCTCTACATCTTGTGGTCTTTATGTAAATTTGTCAGTCACTAATATTTGTCCAGGGCATGGATCAAACAAAGGATGTAGACTATCTTTATTTGTGGACTTCCCCTGAATATCTTTTCAGAAATCCTCCCAGTTGTTACAATAAACTGTTTTGTTTTTCTATGACCATAGCATACTAAACTTTTTAATTTAATGTTTGTAATTTGTTGTCTTTGAGGCATTTCTTACAAAATGTTGCAACCACCACACAGGGAGAATGTTCTTTTCAGTCAGTGTGTGTGTGCTTTATACTGATGCAATGCTTGTTTTGCTTTATAATGAATAAATGAGAGTAAAGTTCAAGCTTTTGAAATATGGTTGTGCAGATAAATATCACAACACAGAATAAAGTTTTCTTTGTATGGTTCATGCCATGTGATGGATAACATTGGTGAGCGGCTGAAAAGTTTATAGTACTGGCTACAACTTGAACTATGCTAGGCAGAGGATGCTGCTCTAGGTACAGTGACTAGGCCGACTTGCCTTTTATGAGCACTGCTCTCACAGAACAAAATTGCAGCCTGCTGTGAGTACTTTGCAAAGAAATGTCATGTCTGTTTTACTTATTATTCGTATTGACATCCCGGCACATCGGTCCGACCCATTCGTGCTCCATCCTTTGAAGCAGCAGCCATTTCAGTGTCTCCATGTTCATCATACCCAGCAGAAGTTGACTGACGACATATCTTCTTTCGTTGCCTCACATTCCATTTCTGCACGCTTCTCCTCACTTGATACCAATTTTTAATAGGCAGTTTGTCATTTCTAATTCATGTGTCTAACGTTTCTGGAATGCACTGCATTCAGTATGTCTGCCCTGTCCATACTTCCTCTTTAATTTATCGCCTCTGTCATGCTGTAAAAAGGAGAAGTCTGTAATACATTGTGGTTGTGGGAAAGTTAAAGGAGAAAACAAGTAGAAGAAAACAAGGAAGATGCTGGACAGTTTCACATTAAGACACGGAAGATCTGTGTCAGAAGTGACTGGAAGTACACAAGACAGAAGGATGTGGATAGATATGACTGCCGATGCAACATGACTTGGACTGTAAAAAGTCCATGCTAGTTGTTTTAATGAGTTGAAGTTATTTGTCATCACTAGAATAGGGAACCCTGAGTTTACAAATATTAAATCCTGATTGGTTGAAACAGGAAAACCTGAGATAAAAATAGAATACGGCCACAGAGAAAGTTGGCACACAGGATGCATGATAAAACACGAGCAATGCATGCAAGAGTGAATATTTTATGTGAACACCTGATATTGGAAGTAGAAAAGCTTAGGACAGAGGTTCGACAAGGCTTCTGTTACACAGAAGTCTGATGTTTTGTGTGTCAAGTGTATTTGTGTGTGCTGAACCATCCCACATGACTGCAAAGTATAATAGGACCTCCTGTGTGTTGCAGACAAGCCAGATGATGTAGTTTCTGCTTGTGCAAAGGGACCCATGTTGAGTGTGCAATTCTGATTGTTAATACTGTTCAAGTACTGAATAAATGTGGCAGCTAGACTTGTGAGTTTCCTAGACAACATAGGGACTGAAGACCGATGGACGGCTGTTGATGTGTGTTGAATAAACTTGAACATGAACTATAAAAGACTGAATCCTAGGAACATTTGTGAGCTGTGTTTTTGCATTTGTAAGTTCTGATGTACCGAGCAACCACTTACAGTAGACGAGTGAAAGTGAGCAAAGTACAACAGGGGATTCATAGCAGTTGTTTTGGTTATCAACCTGCAGCCTTATGTGTTGTCATTTATTGCTGAGACATATTTTCCTTTCTGTCTAATGTCCTCTCTACTGATGTCCCCCTGCCTAACACACACTCCTCCACCAACTTTCCTGCTGTCACAATATACCTTCGTTTCGTGCCTGCATAAGATGTGCCCAGGTGTTGATTGTTTGCTTCTAATAATAGGTAATGTCTCTCAAGACAACTACATTGTGTTATCATTCTTCTGCATGCACCATGTCCAAATAACAAAGGAAAGAAGAAATAAAAAGGCAACACTGAGACAACAGATATGAAAACAAAAATGTATAAATGAGACAAAATGCAAGTAACAAACAAATGAAAGTAATTGAACAGTTTTTTTTCTACATATTCTTCTTTCTCTGCATTTACTCTTGTAAAGGCCTTTGGTAAGTTATGATGTGGTTAACAGCTAGGCTAGGGGCCCAATGCATCCAATTTCTCCTAATTTGTCACATGTTACAACATGCTTGTTATGGGGCGATGACCTAATTTTTTTTCACCCCAGACCCACACTTAGTGAATTCAAGTTATGTGGACTCACATTTATTGCCTGAAAAGTAAATTTAAATAAAGAAAAAAATTAAGCACACGCTGAATAGGTGTTTCTGAAACTGGCCGAAGCAGTAACAATTAAAGTTAACAATTCCACACATTTTCCCACCAAATTTAAACAAATGTAATCATGTGGCCAGTTTTAACTTCTAGAGGGGGGAAAAAACTATGTCTATTTCAGTGGAAAGGATTCATTTTTGTGTGCTTAAACATTTACATGGTAAATGTAAATTCTCTAGTAATGCACTGGTGAGATACAGTTAATGACAGGCAATGTATTGTTTGTGTCTGCATTATTTAAAATCTCATTAACCCTGTCACCATGTGAACACTGAAAAAATGGCTCATGACCTTATTGGAAGTTAAGAAAATATCCTGTTGAAATAAAAAAAATTGGTGTTTACACATTCTTTGAAAATGTATCTATGTACATTTAAAAAATATTTCACCCCTAAAAGATATAACAATTCATAGAGTAATCAGTAAATACGGTAAAGAATAAATTCCTGGGTGTCTTCCCCAACAAAAAATAGAATGCATTGGGTGACTCCTACCATGACTGTGACTTATGGGAAAAATGTGACATTGACCTGGCTAATGGGAAAAATGTGACATCGACCTGGCTAATGGGGAAAATGTGACATCGACCTGGCTAATGGGAAAAATGTGACATCGACCTGGCTAATGGGGAAAATGTGACATCGACCTGGCTTATGGGAAAAATGTGACATCGACCTGGCTTATGGGGAAAATGTGACATCGACCTGGCTAATGGGAAAAATGTGACATCGACCTGGCTAATGGGAAAAATGTGACATCGACCTGGCTAATGGGGAAAATGTGACATCGACCTGGCTTATGGGAAAAATGTGACATCGACCTGGCTTATGGGGAAAATGTGACATCGACCTGGCTAATGGGAAAAATGTGACATCGACCTGGCTTATGGGGAAAATGTGACATCGACCTGGCTTATGGGAAAAATGTGACATCGACCTGGCTTATGGGAAAAATGTGACATCGACCTGGCTAATGGGGAAAATGTGACATCGACCTAGCTTATGGGAAAAATGTGACATCGACCTGGTTTATGGGAAAAATGTGACATCGACCTGGCTAATGGGAAAAATGTGACATTGACCTGGCTAATGGGGAAATTGTGACATCGACCTGACTTATGGGAAAAATGTGACATCGACCTGGCTAATGGGAAAAATGTGACATCGACCTGGCTTTTAAAATGCTGTCTTAAAAGAAAACTCCCCTAAATGCTGTTTTAATTAATGTATTCATATCCTGACCACCTAACCATTTTCGCAGATGCAAACACAGCCAATAGCATTATACGGGTCAATATAGACAAGTGGTAAGAGCAATACTGACAGGGAATTAAAGCTAACTGGAGGTGTTGCTTTTGCAGTTAAACGTAACAACTACAAATAAGACAACACAAAAATGACAGCAAATCTGTTTAATACAGACAACTGAAGTAAATCATACAATATCACAAAGGTTATATACTTTTTTTCCAGAATAAAACAACTTGTGCACTCTACGTTTAATGTCTTTCTCTCTCTCTCTCTCTACTCACACATAAAATTATTTAAGTGAAGCCATTAATGTAATCCTTTGCTGTGATGTAACTGCGACTACCTGAAAACCATTTGTGTTTTCATTGCCTACCCTCTCTCCTGAAGATCTGTTGTTACCCAGC